CTCCTCTCTGTGCCTCCTCCTCCATGTGCCCCCTCCTCCATGTGCCTCCTCCTCCCTGTGCTCCCTCCTCCATGTGCTCCCTCCTCCCTGTGCCCCCTCCTCCCTGTGCTCCCTCCTCCATGTGCTCCCTCCTCCCTGTGCCCCCTCCTCCATGTGCCTCCTCCTCCTCCCCTGCTCAGAGGCCGTTTCTCTTCTGTGGTTGACCAGCTCCTGCCCATCGTACACATTTAACCTGGAATGTTGTCCTTTTTCCAGAACCATTCCTGACCTTACTCTCCACTTACTCTTAGTCCCGCCTCCTCGTCATCTCCGCCCCTACATTTCCCAAGCGCCCCTGTGTGTGACTGTCTCCTCACACCCTGGTCTGTGTGGCTGAGGGCTCCCTGCCTTTCCCCGCTCCAGGAGCAGGGGGGACATAGGTCAGCCCTCTGTTCACGGCTCATAAGGAAATGTCCTTTGTCAGAAGCTCAGGCCACGTGTGCTGAACGGGACGACGCGCTCCTCTCGCTCGCAGGAAGTGGTTCTATTCCTCCAGGAAGAGCTGTCAACTCCTCCTCTGCCCCTTCTCCCCCCCGGACAGCAGTGTCTTTCCGATCCCAGGGGTCCGGGAACGCTCTGTTCATGTAACCGACGGCCATTCACCTGTGGCTTCAGCGCTTGAAGTCTTTGCAGGTCCCCCACGGAGATGGGATTTCTGACGTCAGAACAGCCGTAGAGACGGGCCTCCCTCCCGGATGTGAGAGCTTCCGGTTCTGTGTTTCCCGGGGACCAGCCTCGCCATCTGCCACCGGGCGACAAGCTCCGCTCCATTTCTCGCCTGGGGCACCGGGCGCAGGGTGGGGGCAGAGCGGATGCAGAACACCGTTCGCTCCACCCTCTCCCCTCAAACACCCTCGTGGTGGGGACCCTGCCTGGGCCCAGACACCCCCAGTGAGGACGCCCCTGACGAGGGCATCGTCCTCATCACAGGGGGGTCGGGGACGAGAGAGAGCTCTGCATGAAGGTTGTGTGTCCCATCGTCCTCCCCGCCCGCTCAGAGTGCAGACAGACAGACACGCTGCAAAGTTGGCCGCCTTTCGGTCTGTAGCTGGGCAGACCCCCTGATGCCCACACCCAATGTGCTGAGAATACAGACATTTCAGCGATGATCTTCTCTAGGTTTCCTCCCTGCGATAAGGTCGGACAGGTCCCCCTTCGCCGAGTCCCCGATGCTCACCTGTTCCCTCCCATGACCTGCCCACACCCAAACCCGGGCTCCCCTGGCCGGTCCCCCGGTGACTCTCACACAAACTCGTGAGCCTCTGTGGGAAGTGCGCCAGGGTCCCCGGAAGTCCGGGCCAAGGGGAGCACAGAGCCTTGCCGCCAGGACACCAGGATGGCCAAGGCCGCTCGGAGCAGGAGCCTCATCGGGTGCCCGAGGCCAAGAGGCCACCAGCGGGAGCGAGGACACGCGGCAGATTGTGCCCTTCTCCGCCGATAGGACGGCTGTCGCTGTGGGCAGCTGCCTTCCTGTCTAAGGAGCCATGCCCAGGCTCCTGACCGGGGGAGTGTGTGTGTGAATTCTGCCAGAGAGAGAGCAGCCGGGCAGAGCAGAGGAGAGAGAGCTCAGAGAAGAGGGGGGAGAGGCGCAGAGAATGTAGCTCCTGTGTGTGCAGGAGAGGGGAGCTCAGGTGGAGCTGAGAGCTGGGACTGCCTTGCCCTAAGGCTGAGAGCTCACAGAGAGCTCAGGGACAGTGCCATGTTCCCCAGCCAGAGAGGGGCAGGGAGGGGCGGGGAGGGGCAGGGCGCCAGGAGGAGCTGCTGAGCGGGGCTCAGGCGCCACCACAATGTGAGACAGTGAGTGTGGGGCAGCGTGCGGCTGCTCAGATCACAGCCATGGGCACAGCGACGGAGCTGCTGGGCGGGGAGAGGCACATGTTCACCAGCGCGTCCGCTGCCTGCGTGGACTTTGCTGTAAAGAACCGTTTTGTCTTGACGGCCGTGTGGCCACCAGCTTCTGCCATCAAGGCTCATCCTTCACCGGCAGCCTCTCCGGCTTCTCCGCCTGCCCGCCGCCAAGCAGGGGCCGCTGTCTCTGACGCCAGGCGCCTGGAGCTGGTGAGCAGGGGATGAAGCAGGAACTTGGACTAAGTTGCCAGCTGTCGGTACAGGGGGCGGGGTTCGAGCAGGAACCAGCCCTGAGTGTCGGGGAGAACTGAGAACACATGGACTCAGAGAGCCCGGAGCAGCCTCCCGTCTGCCCTCCCGCCCACTCCTCACATTAGCGTTTTCTCAAAGCAGGTTTCCTGAGGCACACACGTGTGAGTGTGTGTGTGTGCATGTGTGTGCATGCGTGTGCACACACATGCATTACTGGGTGTGCTGAGTAATGTAGAGAGACATGGACACACCCAGGGTCATGGGACACACGTGCTCAAGAACAAACCCTGAGGAAAATGAAGTAACAACACAACATGCAGCCAAGAAGCGGCCACCTTTTCAAAGATGAAACCCAGACGCATCAGACTCCATGTGTGCCAGGCACCGGCCACGGGGATGGAAGACACGCAGCTGGGGTGACAGCAGGCCCCGGGCGGGCCCCTCCCTGAGGAGGTCACGGAGACAGAAGATAAAGAAGTGAGCCTGCCCGACACAGAGGATCACAGCCATGTTAGGACCGACACGTGTTTATTCAGAAAGCACCGCAGCATGGAAGCACAGGGCGGGGGTGGGCCTG